GTGAAATCACACAGACTTCGTCGAGTGTGCCTTTGGATGCGTATAGCCTAGGAACAGCATCGACGAATTCTCCCGTTGCCCATTCCTTACTCAAGCCAAACATTCTTCAGTCAGGAGATGCAAACGATCTTGGTTTTCTTCTTTCGGATGATGTTATCGCCGAGTTTGATTCGATGTCTAAAGCAGCGAAGCATATGCTAAGTTCTGATCCTTCCAAGGAAACGAAAGTCTCTGGAATCACCTACAAACAGCAATTAACACTCGGGGCGTCGCAACAGCGTGATGAAAATTTTCCTCACCCTTCACAAGCTGCGCATGAAGCGTCGTCTTCTCAAACCCTAGTTACTCAGAAGATAGTTGAATCTCATTCATTAAAAGGAGAAGGTGTGCTTGGCTCCTCAGCAGCTCAATCCTCATTGTCCGTTGGCCAGCCCGCGTCTCCTGCTCGTCGAACGGCAGCCAGCGAGTTGAAGGTAGTTAAGAAGACCGAACCTGTTGACTCTTCTACCTTAAGGATGCATTCATCTGGTGCATCTTCTGGAACAGTGGAAAACAACATGTCTTGTGAAAGACCCATTGCACGGCAATTTCTTTCGGAGAAAACTGAACATAAAGAAGAATCGATAATCGTTGGTGGCCCTGCAGTGCATGCTCGACGGTCAGACATCATCGCCAATGCAGAATATGAAGATCTCTCTCCTGTTTCTCCTGTCGTGATTAGTCCTGAACCATTATCAGATGAGCCTGAATGGTGGCGTAAAGATGAAAAAGTACCTTTGCTGCTAAGTACATCTACTACAACAACTTTATCGGGCTCCGTTCCTACCACTTTTTCTTTGCAAGCGGTTGAGGATCCAAGGCCTTCAACGAGGTGCGACGTTCAGACTTCTGACGACATGAAACAGGCGTTTGGTAGAATCAAAGAGCCATTTGCAGCGCGAAGGTCTCGCTCTCCTGAGCATGCTGACATGAAGAAGCTACCGCAAAACCGGCAAGAGTCAGATCCTGCACATTTTCACCATCCTGCTCGGGCAAAGA